ACCCTTCGTGCTTTTACTCTCGTCCTCACCAAAGCAATCATATAATAACAATGTACAAGGCATCACCCTTCGTGCTTTTACTCTCGTCCTCACCAAAGCAATCATATAATAACAATGTACAAGGCATCACCCTTCGTGCTTTTACTCTCTTTCATCACCATATAATCAATATAATCGGCACGGAATGGTACATCGTGCGGCACAGCATCACCCCTCGTGCTTTACACTCTTTCCTCACAATCATACACGGCATCACCATTTATACTTTACACTCTTTCCTCACAAAACAAACAATGCACGACATCACCCTTCATGCTTTAACTCTCTTCCTCACCCAAACAACAATCACAAACAATAGGGCAAGGGAACAAATGAAATTGCAATAAAAATCCCGCCAAGGGAACAACAATTCAACAATTTAATCCCGTCAAGGGATCAACATCAATAACATCAACATCCCGGCAAAAAAGATAACAAATAAATCAATAATAGCCCGGCAAGGGTGACAACATAATGATCTCTTCTCTTTCTCACTTTCACTTCACTATTCACTTCACAACTCGAGCCAATGCTCTAGAGGTTCAATTACACTTATACTTTCACAACTCATTATACAACTTGAGCCAACGCTCCTCAAGGTTCATAGATCACAATTCCTTCCACAAACTTTATACCACAAATATAAACCACCACTAAGGCATAAAAGATACAACGAAGTCATGAGTTTTCCAAAGTTTTGCCCAAAAAGTCAAAAATTGCCGTCGGACCCACATGGTCAAAACCCGAGATTCGAACCAAACCTCGATTACCCATTCCCCCATGAATCCAAATATATAATTTGTTTTGAAATCGGACCTCAAATCGAGTCCAAATCCCCAATTTTTGAAAAACTTAGGTTCTATCCAAAATACCCAATTTCCCCCATGAAAACCATTGATTTTAAGTTGAAATCATGTTAAAAGATGTTAATGATTGAAGGAAATGAGTTAAAATTAACTTATAATCGATTTGGAAGAAGATTTATTCTTGGAAAATCGCCCAAAGGAGTTTGTGTTTTGAAAAGATGTGAAAAATGAGTTTAAAATCGTCTAAGTATAAAGTTGCAGGTCGCAGGTATGGGAAATTTGCGGACCCTGACCTCTGCTAAGATGGGAAATACAAAACAGGGTTCGCATTTGCGAACCCTTCAGGAAAGCTGGACTTTCGCATTTGCGAAAGGGACCCTAGCATTTGCGAATTGGAATTTGCGAGAGGGGAGTCACATTTGAGACTCAAGGCTGAAATAGGACTAATCGCATTTCCGATCAAAGCCTCGCATATGTGAGAAAGACAGGCCTGGGCTGGTTTCGCTTTTGCGATCCAGCCTTCGCATTTGTAAGCTTGCATTTGCGAGCCAGGCTTCGCAAATGCGAAGCATGCAGGCCTAATCATACCAGCAAAGTTTCTGCAACTTTCTGAGTCTAAAAATCCACCCCATGGCATGTCCAAAACTCACCCAAGCCCTCGGGGCACCAAAATAAATATACACAACCTTAAAAATATCCTACAGACTTATTCGTGTACTCAAATACCAAAATAACATCATGAACATCGAATTATACCTCAAGATCAATGAAATTTCTCAAAACTCCTTTAAACATCAAATTTGTATTCAAGGCCCGAATCACGTCAAACGGATTCCGTTTCTTACCAAACTTCATAGAGTTATCTTAAATCATATATAAGACATGTACCGGGTGCCAAAACCAAGATACGGGCCCGATACCAACACGTTCTAATCAAAATTCATTTCCAAAACCTTTAAACCATTTCAGAAAATAATTTTCTTTTAAAAATTTATTTCTCGGGCTTGGGACCTCGGAATTTGATTTCGGGCATACGCCTAAGTCCCATATTTTCCTACGGACCCCATAGGACCGTCAAATCAGGGGTCCGGATCTGGGTCAGTTTACCCAAAATGTTGACCGAAGTTAAATTAATTCATTTACAGTCAAAATTTATCATTTTTCATAGGTTTTCATATTTAGGCTTTCCGGCTATACGCACGCAAATCGAGGTGATACTAAGAGAGGTTTCAAGGCCTCAAAACATGGAAATTTCATTTTTAAACAAGTGACCTTTCGGGTCATCACAGCTTCAGATGGTTTTAATCCTTTTGGTTCGATGAGTAATACCTATAGCATGTGGCCAGGTTGTCATGTACATATTTGTTCCATTTACTAAAAACATGGTGGAAAACATTGCTATATAGATCATCATAAGTTCTTGGAGAAAAATCATCCTTATCGCCGGAATAAAAGTTCTTTTGATAATACAAAGGAAGAAAGACTTTCACCACAAGCTTTAAGTGGAGATGATGTTCTTGCACAACTTAATACATTTTCACAAGAGTTAGTTGGTGGCAGCACAAAAAAAAGAGATGCCGAAAGATGTGACAATTGGAAAAAGAAAAGTATATTCTTTGAACTCCCATATTGGAGGATTTTATTGTTGAGACATAATTTGGATGTAATGCATATTGAAAAGAACATTAGTGAAAGTGTGATAGGAACTCTGTTGGATATTGAAGGGAAAACAAAGAACACATTGAAATCTCGATTGGACATACAATAGATGAAAATCAAAAATCCCCTTCATTCAATAAAAAGTGGGGATAAGTACATACTTCCTCCGGCAAGTTATACAATGTCTAAAACTGAGAAGATTCAATTTTGCCAACTCGTCAAAAGAAGTCAAGTTTCCTGATGCTTATGCTTCAAACATTGGTCGGTGTGTCAATGTTAGTGAAGCTAGAATATTTGGACTTAAAAGTCATGACCACCATGTCCTTTTTCAGCGTATTATTCCACTTATCATCAAAGGAATTTTGCCAAAGGATGCATATGATCCCTTAATTGAATTATCATTTTTCTTTAGTGATTTGTGCGCTAAAGGGTTGCATGTAGAGAGATTAAAGAAACTAGATAAAAGTATACAGATGACAATTTATAAATTAGAACGTGTGTTCCTACCGACGTTCTTTGATGTTATGATTCATTTGGCAATTCATTTGGAAAATGAGGCAAAAGTAGGTAGTCCTGTTCAATATCGATGGATGTATTACATCGAAAGGTTAGATTTTTACTTATTTGAATTATTCTTTTAGAAGAAATTTGTTATAAAACTAATTTATATTTACTTAGTAGATACCTACGAACGTTAAAAGATTATGTACGCAACCAAGCCTGCCCTGAAGGATCAATTGCTGAGGAATATCTTGCGGAGGAGTGCATGGTATTTTGTTCTAAATACTTGACTGATATGGAAACAAAGCAAAATCGTCCAGATAGAAATTTTGGTTCTCCCAACATAAATCGTAATGGCTTGTCCATATTTACTGTTATGGTAAGTCATTAGCAGGGGTGATTGGAAAAGCATGAGTAATCTTGAAATCAACCAAGCTCATTTTTATATCCTCCAAAATTGTGAGGAAGTCAGAGCTTGGATTGAGTAAGATAACTTTTCATTTAATATATCTGTTTTTTCTTATGAATATCTTTAATGACTATGATGTAATATTCTTTATTTTTTTTCTAAATCTTCCAATACATAGAGAATATCTAGATATATTGGCAAAGCAGATTAATAGAAATGTAGCCAAGAGACTGTGATGACCCTGTCAGTCAGCTCATGAGTTACCGCTCTGTTTCCCTCATTTATGCTTCTTATTGCTTTGTTTATCGGTTATATATGTGATCGGGTTGGTTCGATCGGGTTCGGAAAGGTTTTGGTAAGGTTTGAGACACTTAGTCTCTTTTGAGGAAGCTTAAGTTGGAAAAGTCAACCGGATGTTGACTTATGTGTTAGAGGGCTAGGATGTGAGTTCCGATGGTTTGGAAAGCTTTGGGAGGTGATTTGAGACTTAGGAGCGTGATCGAAATGTGTTTTGGAGGTCCGGGGTAGATTTAGGCTTGAATTGGCAAAATTGAAATTTTGGCATTTTCTGGTTGATAGGTGAGATTTTGATATAGGGGTCGAAATGGAATTCCAGGAGTTTCAGTAGTTCCTTTGGGTCATTTGGGATGTGTGTGCAAAATTTCAGGTCATTCGGATGTGGTTTAGTATACTTCTTGATCAAAAGCGTAATTCAGAAGATTTTGAAAACTTAGGCTTGAATCCGATGTGTTTTGGTTGATTCGATGTTGTTTGGGGTGTTTTAAAGATTGGTATAAGTTTCGATAGTGGTATATGATGTGTTCGTGCTTTTGGTTAAGGTCACGGGGGCCTCCGGGTGATTTCGGATAGTTGGCGAAAAGTTTAGAAGTTGGTTTTGGCAGCTGAAGATGTGCCATTTGCTGTCATAACCGCACCTGCGACTAGGGGACCGCAGGTGCGGTCCCATAGAAGCAAGCGAAGATATGCACCTGCGGTGGTGCAGGTGCAATATTTTAACCGCAGATGCGGAAAATGGTCAAGTAAGTGAGGACCGCAGATACAACGCTTGGGACAGCAGAAGCGGTTGTGCAGGAACGAGATTTGGACCGCAGGTGCGAAAAGCCTAGGCCAGAAGGTATAAATTATTTCCTTCGCGAATTTTTGGGTTATTCCACCATTTCCAAGTCGGTTTTGGAGCTTTTTGGGAGATTTTGAAGAGGGATTCAAGGGATATCGTCTGGAGGTAAGATTGTTGAACCTAAAACTTGTTTCTATGGTATTATTTCACAAATTAGAGCTGTAATTATGGAAATTTAAGGGTTAAAATTGGGAAAACTAGGGCTTGGTATTGGAGACCTAGACTTGAGGATTTGAGGAGCCATTGGTGGTCGGATTTTGGGACTTTTGATATGTATAAACTCGTGGGGAGACAAGGAATCTATTGATGTAAATTTTATCGAATTCCGAGACGTGGGCCCGGGGGTCAGGTTTTTATTAATTTCGGGATTTATGTTGTCAATTGATTATTTTCGCATGGGTTTCGTTCCCTTAGCATATTTTGACGTCGTGATTCTGATTTTGGATAGATTTGATGCGAGTTGAGGCAGATTCGAAGCGCCGCGGGCTAGAGTTTGGACCAGATTGAGGTGAGTAATAATTTTAAATATTGTCCTGAGGGTATGAAACCCCAAATTACACATCGTTATGCTATATTGAGGTGACACACACGCTAGATGACGAGCGTGGGGTCGTGCACCGTTGGGGATTATGACTTAGTCCATCCCAAATGACTGTTTTACCGCGTATTTGATTGAAAACTGTTTGCTATCATCATGTTTTGGGCTGAATGCCATATTTGGGTCTCGTGCCAATTATTTGGACCCTTATGGGAGTTTTACTGATATTTCCTTACTTTTTTGACTTTACACTTGTACTCAGTCATGCTATATTCTACTGTTTTCATAACTCAACCATGTTTACTCTGTTTTAATACATTAAATGATATTTTAAATGATAATTTGGGCTGAGCATCATGTTTTACTGTTGCCCGAGTGGCTTATGAGATTCTGACTGAGTAAGGCCGATGGTCTGTGTTGTGAGGATACTTTGGGTAGGGCTGCACGCCACATCAGTGATACACTGATTATGATTATGAGGCCGAGGGCCTGAGATTGTATGCCACGAGGTGGCTTGTTAATATGAGGTCGAGAGCCTAGTGATTTTGCCACGAGATGGCTTAATATTGCACTTGGGTCGTAAGGGGCCCCTCCCGGAGTCTGTACACTCCCAGTGAGCGTGGGTACCTATTATGATATGAGATATAGCCCGAGGGGCTGGTGTTGTTCCATGATATTTCCCGAGGGGCGGATTCTGTTGACATTGTGCCCAAGGGGAAGATTTTTATGTGTTTATCTATTCTAGCTGCTTTTCATTTGATTGTTTAACTGTTAAAAAGGTGTTTTAAAGAAGTTTATTCTGATTTAAGGTGTCTTTATATGCTTTCACTATTTCATTGCTTGTACTGGTTTTATATTGCTTCTTTATAGCATGTTGATGTGCTTTTATGTGATTTCTTATCGCTCAGCCTTCATTTATTATTATTACTCACTGAGTTGGAGTACTCACTTTACTCCCTGCACCATGTGTGCAGATTCAGGCGCTTCGGGTCCCGCTAGTGAGTGTTAACTTCTTCCAGCTCAGGCGGATTCGGAGATTCACTAGGTAGCTACTCGGCGTCCGCAGCCCAGTGCTTCTCCCCCTATCTTATTTACTCTGTTTTAGTTCTGTAATAGACTATGTAGATTTTTCCTGTCTTTTTTCGGATAGTAGATGCTCATGACTGGTGACACCCCGATCGGGCTATGTCTATTCCGCAATTGTACCTTTCACCTTATTTTGGGATTATTATTATGTTAAAGAATTAATTTATATTATTTTAACTACTTAAAATGAATTGGGTATATGTCGGTTGACCTTGTCTTCATGAGAGGTGTCATCACAAATGGTTCCAGGGTTAGGGTCGTGATAAGATGGTATCAGAGCCTAGGTAACATAGGTCTCATGAGTCATGAGCAGGTTTAGTATAGTCTCGCGGATCAGTACGAAGATGTTTGTATTTATCTTCGAGAGGCTGCAGAATCTTTAGGAAAAACTTCATATTCTTAAAATTCTTGTCATGCGAATTTGTTGATCCGAGTACTAAACTTCTGTTATTATATTCTCTTACCGACGGTGAGGACACGCGCTACCGGTCAGGATGGACGACCACCAATAGCGCCAGTTGTGGCCACTAGAGGTCGAGGACGCGATCGTAGTGGCAGTAGGGGCAGGGGTATGGCCCGCACAACAGCTAGGGCAGAACCTGCATATCCACCAGCCGCCCTAGTTCAGGATCAAGTTCCAGTTGTGGACGCTCCAGCAGCACCAGCTCAAGCACCAGCTGTGCCCATTGTGATTCCGAGTCTTCAGGAGGCCTTGGATCAGATTCTATCAGTATGCACTAGCCTAGCTCAGGCGATATCAGTTACTACTGCCGCAACTACTTCTCAGGCCAGGGGAGGAAATCAGACTTCCGCTGCTCGCACACCTGAGCAGGTCGTGCAGGGACTTCAGACACCGGGGGCACATCCAACTCAGCCGGTTGCAGCTGCTCAAGACTATGTAGTTCCTGCTATGCCAGAGGACGAGCAGTGCAGGTTGGAGAGGTTTGGTAGACTTCAGCCTCCAAATTTCAGTGGTGCATAGGGTGAGGATGCCTAGGGCTTCTTGGACAAGTGTCAGCGGATTCTTTGCACAGCGGGTATTCTGGAGATCAGCGGGGTCGCTTTCACTACTTTTCAGTTTTTTGGAGCTGCCTTTACTTGGTGGGAGGCTTTGAGAGGCGTAGGCCTATTGGTGCAGCACCCCTTACCTGACAGCAGTTCTCCGTTCTCGTCTTGGAGAAGTATGTGCTGCAGTCTCGCAGAGAGGAGCTGCGCAGGCAGTTCGAGTGGTTGCTTCAGGGAGAGATAACTGTGACGCACTATGAGATAAGGTTCTCTGAGTTAGCTCGTCATGCTATTTGGTTGGTTCCGACAGATAGAGAGAGGATTATGAGGTTTGTTGATGGCCTCACTTATCAGCTTCGTATTCTTATGACCAGGGAGAGTGTGTTTGGTGCTACTTTTGAGGAGGTTGTAGACATTGCTCGTGAGATTGAGTCAGTTCGTCGCTAGGAGCGAGATGAGAGGGAGGCCAAGAGGCTCCAGGATCTAGTAGTTATGGTGGTACTTCCTCGAGAGGTCAGTTTCAGCACGATAGAGGTCGTCCATTCAGGCATGCTCAACCAGCCCGCCCAGGTTATCGTAGGGCGTCATCGGGTCATGGTTCTCACAGTTCTCATCAGGGCCAGTCATCACTTAGTGCCTTTCTAGCTTAGAGTTCGTCTCGTGCTCCATCAGTTCAGGGCTCTTCTATGCCAGGTGCATCAACTAGTCATTTTGGTTCGAAGGGTTCCTTTCAGTCCCCGTCTCCAGTGCCCGGGAGTTGCTATGAGTGTAGAGAGATGGGTCATATGTGGAGGCAGTGTCCTCGTCGTCTTGCGGGTTCGTCCTAGCAGAAGAGTCAATCATCGGCTTCAGCGCCAGTTACTTCATCACCACCCACCCAGCCAACTAGGGGTCGCCCTAGAGGGGGAGGTCGATCAGGTGGCAGTCAGGCCTGTTTCTCTGCACTTCCAGCTAGACCTGATGCTATTGCTTCTGATGTTGTTATTACAGGTATTGTTTCAGTCTTCCACAGAGATGCCTCTGTATTATTTGATCCCGGTTCCACCTTTTCTTATGTGTCATCATACTTTGCTCATTATTTGGATACACCCCGTGAGACTCTTGTCTCACATGTTCATGTATCTACTCTAGTGGGAGATACTGTTGTTGTAGACCGTGTATACCGTTCGTGTGTGGTGACTATTGGGGGTCTGGAGACCCGAGTGGATCTGTTGTTATTATGTATAGTAAACTTCAATGTTATTTTGGGCATGCATTGGCTATCTTTGTCGTGCTATTCTGGACTCTCATGCTAAGACAGTGGCATTGACTATACCGGATGTGCCACAGATTGAGTGTCGAGGTTTGACTGATTATGTTCCTAGTAGGGCAATCTCATTTTGAAGGCCCAGCATATGGTTGGGAAGGGTTGTCTTTCGTATCTAGCCTTTGTGAGGGATGTCGGTATAGAGGCTTCCAGTATTGATTATGTTCCAGTTGTGAAGGAGTTTCCCGATGTGTTTCATGCAAACCTGCTGGGCATGCCACGGGACAGGGATATTGATTTTGGTATTGACCTTGTGCCGGGCACTCAGCCCATTTCTATTATGTCGTATCGTATGGCACCAGCGAAGTTGAAGGAGTTAAAGGAGTAGCTTCAAGAACTCCTTGATAAGGGGTTCATTCGGCCTAGTATGTTACCTTGGGGTGTGCCGACTCTATTTGTGAAGAAAAAGGATGGCACTATGAGGATGTGCATTGATTATAGGCAGTTGAACAAAATAACAATTAAGAACAAGTATCCTTTGCCTCGCATTAATGATTTATTCGACCAGCTTCAGGGAGTGAGAGTGTTCTCCAAGATTGATCTCTATTCAGGTTATCACCAGTTGAAGATCGGGGACTCGGATATTCTTAAGACAGCTTTCAGGACCCGATATGGTCATTATGAGTTCTTAGTGATGTCTTTTGGGCTGACCAATGCCCCAACAACGTTTATGCATTTGATGAATAGCATGTTCCGGCCTTATCTCGACTTGTTTGTCATAGTCTTCATTGATGATATTCTGGTATACTCACGTAGTCAGGAGGAGCACGCAGAGCATTTGGGAGTTATGTTGCAGAGATTGAGGGAGGAGAAGCTTTATGCAAAGTTTCCAACTGTGAGTTTTGGCTCAATTCAGTGGCTTTCTTGGGGCACGTGGTATCCAGTGAGGGTATTCAGGTTGATCCTAAGAAGATAGAGACGGTTCAGAGTTGGCCCAGACCGTCCTTAGCCATAGAGATGCATAGTTTTCTTGGTTTGGCGGGTTATTACCGCCAGTTTGTTCAGGGATTCTCATTTATTGCATCACCCTTAACCAAGTTGACTCATAAGGGTGCTTCATTTGTATGGTCGGATGAGTGTGAGGAGAGCTTTCAGAAGCTCAAGACAGCCTTGACCACATTTCCAATGTTAGTTTTGCCATCAACTTCAAGTTCATATACTATTATGATGCTTCGAGAGTTGGTATTGGTTGTGTATTGATGCAGGAGGGTAGAGTTATTGCTTATGCTTCTCGTCAGTTGAAGCCTCATGAGAAGAATATTCATGATTTGGAGTTGGTTGACATTGTTCACGCATTGAAGATTTGGAGGCATTATTTGTATAGTGTGTCTTGTGAGGTGTTTACTGATCATCGTAGCCTCCAACACTTGTTCAAGTAGAAGGATCTCAATTTGAGGCAGCGGAGATGATTGGAGTTGCGAAAGGATTATGATATCACTATATTGTACCATCTGGGGAAGGCCAATGTGGTGGCCGATGCTTTGAGCCGAAAAATGGTGAGTATAGGGAGTTTGGCATATATTCCAGCTTGGGAGAGACCTCTTGCAGTTGATGTTCAAGCCTCGGCCAATCAGCTCGTGAGGTTGGATATTTCGGAGCTCAATCGGGTATTGGCTTGTGTGATTTCTCGGTCTTCCTTATATGATCGCATCAGAGAGCGCCAGTATGATGATCCGCATTTGCTTGTCCTTAAGGACATAGTTCAGCACGATGATGCCAGAGATGTGACTATTGGTGATGATGAGGTGTTGAGGATGCAGGGCCGAATTTGTGTGCCCAATATGGATGGGCTTCGGGAGTTGATTCTGGAGGAGGTCTATAGCTCACGGTATTCCATTCATCCGGGTGCCGCGAAGATGTATCAGGATCTGAGACAGCATTATTAGGGGAGGAGAATGAAGAAAGACATTGTGGGATTTGTAGCTCAGTGTCTCAATTGTCAGCATGTGAAATATGAGCATTAGAGACCGGGTGGCTTGCTTCAGCAGATGGATATTCCAGAGTGAAAGTGGGAGCGGATCACCATGGACTTTGTAGTTGGACTCCCACGGACCTTGAAGAAGTTCGATGTTATTTGGGTGATCGTGGATTGGCTGACCAAGTCTGCACGCTTCATTCCTGTGTGTACTACTTATTCTTCATAGCGGTTGGCAGAGATCTATATCCGGGAGATTGTTCGTTTGCATGGTGTCCCAGTTTCCATCATTTCAGATAGGGTCACTCAGTTTACTTTGCAGTTTTGGAGGTCTGTGCAGCGAGAGTTGGGCACTCAGGTTGAGTTGAGCATAGCTTTTCACCCTCAAATGGACAGGCAGTCTGAGTGCACTATTCAGATATTGGAGGACATGTTGCGTGCTTGTGTCATTGATTTCGGAGGGTCATAGGATCAGTTTCTACCACTCGCAAAGTTTGCCTATAACAACAGCTACCAGTCAAGTATTCAGATGGCTCCATATGAGGCTTTGTATGGGAGGCAGTGTAGATCTCGGTTTGAACCGGGTGAGGCTATGCTATTGGGGACAGACTTGGTGCAGGATGCTTTAGAAAAGGTGAAGGTAATTCAGGAGAGGCTCCATACAATGCAGTCGAGACAAAAGAGTTATGTCGATAGGATGGTTCGGGATGTGTCCTACATGGTTGGTGTGAAGGTTCGGTTGAACGTTTTGCCTATGAAGGGTGTTATGAGGTTTGGAAAGAAAGGTAAATTGAGTCCTCGGTTCATTGAGCCTTTTGAGGTGCTTCGGAGGATTGGGGAGGTGGCTTATGAGCTTGCTTTGCCACCCTGCTTCTCGAGTGTGCATCCGGTATTTTTTATGTTTCT